CTTAAAGACCTCCAAGGAAGGTCCAGCCTCTGCTTAAAGACCTCACATGCTTTCAGCCTCAGGGGAGGGCATTGGCAAACCGCCTCTGAACAAAAAAAATCTAGGGATAGCCGTGTTGGCAATATAGCAAATCCAATAACATCCAAACAATGATACCTTTATTGGGCCAACCCAATTGTGCATTTTGGTTGGCCCAATAAAGGTATCATTGTTTGGATGTTTTTGGATCTCCTCTGAACAAATCTTGACAAGAAACCCCCATGATAGAGTTGCCTCATGGTCGTCATGAGTCAGAAATGACTTGAAGGCACACAACAACAACAACAACAACAACAAATATCACTTTGCAGGTCCTGGTGGGCAGAAGAGTCTAGTAATAAATACATTTTAACAGGACAGAATATAGTCTCCTCAAGGATCCCTGGTTTAATAAGTGTGTGCATGTGTGGATGGATCTTGGAAGCATTTCTTTTTGAAGTCAACCAGTACTCTGTACTGAGGTGGTTGAGAGACTGCCATCTGTGCTTACCCCTGACAGCACATATACAATGGATTTTTAGTGACTTATTGGCCCTGTGTGTGCAATGGTAACTGGCCTGTTCCAAGTCTGAGGAAAAACCTGTCTGTCAGAAATTAATGGGGTGAGAATCCTAACATAAAACAAAGCCTTGAGTGAAATTCCATGGCTTCATGGACTGTTAATTCTTTATTAGGTTTTCCTAAGACTGAGATAAAAAGCATTTTATCTTTTTTAAGGTTTGCATTAACATGTCATTGAGTTTTATAGGTACATTGATCTTCATTTGGCTAATCTGGAAAGGATAATAGGAATGTGTGTACTTTGCAATGGCAAAGACAACTCCATAATGCTTGGGACAGAGGGAGTGGGTTGTGTGTGGAGGGCAGTTATTTTGTATCATACTGGTGTCTACTTGGATTTTTCAACTGGAAAGGGTTCAGACAGATTTTTGAAGTGATGACAAAAGGGACCTGCCAGGATTTCAGGTAATGTCTTTAGGGCTCTAGGTAAAAGCTTTTAATACTGCAGACAGGTGACATGTCTTTCTTTAACCTTCATACAAAAAAGAGTTTGGGAAATGCAGAGGTGCTCTTAGTTGATCAAAACGTAGATCTGGAAATAGGGATTGAGCCTTTGTTATATGGGGTTACAGTTTATGGATACTCCTGGGCTCAGTCTTGAGCCTTGAATCCCAGGTTTCTGCAATAGCCAGGAGTATATTTGCAGTTAAAGCTAGTGTACTAGCTGTGCCTGTTCCTGGAAATGTCTGATCAGGCTACAGTGATACATGTCTCAGTTACATCTTGTTTGTATTACTGTAATCTCCTTGCCCAAATATAATGTAATGTCATGGCCCAAAGAGCGGGAGCTGGACTGTCGATAGGGCTGGTGATTGGGAGTTAGGGTTGCCATTTGTCCTTGAAGGGAATAAAATATGTCCTGGCCAGCTGGGCCAGTTGGAGCAGTAAATCCCGGATTTCCCCTTTGTTGCAGGCCAATGGGTAGGTTAAAATGTGCCAGTGGTGATGGAACAGGAAACCATTCAAGATGACTGGCACTGGTGGGAGCCTCAACCCATCCTGTAGGCTCTGGTTGCTACTACACAGGCATAGCATTGGCACCTAATTCTTTCACTCCCTCCCCACTTCACCTGACAGGTAGAGAAGGAAAGGAATCAAGCAAAGATGGCCTTGTGTTGAGTGGTGATTGTGTCAGGGTCTTGAGCCTAGGGGTAGGCAGTATAGTGGAACTTAGCTTCAAAATGACCTTGAGAGAGTAAAGGGAGTCCCTTTACTCTCTGGGGATGGTTGGAAGCCTCTCTCTCTTAGAATAATAGAATCATAGAATTGGAAGAGACCAAGGGCCATCCAGTCCAACCCCCTCCTATGCAGAAACTCATAATCAAAGCAACCTCAACAGATGGCCATCCAGCCTCTGTTTAAAGACCTCCAAAGAAGGAGACTCCACCATTCTCTGATGAAACGTGTACCACTGTTGAACAGCTCTTACTGTCAGGAAGTTGCTGTTAATGTTTTGATGGAATCTCTTTTTCCTGTAGCTTGCATCCATTGTTCTGTGTCCTATTCTCTGGAGCAGCAGAAAACAAGTTGCTCCTTCTTCCATATGACATGCCTGCAAATACTTAAACAGAGCTATCATATCACCTCTTAACCCTCTCTTCTCCAAGCTAAACATACCCAGCTCCTTAAGTCTCTGCTCATAAGGCATGGTTTCCAGACCCTTCACTATTTTGGTTGCCCTCCTCTGGACACGATTCAGCTTTTCAATATCCTTTTTGAATTGTGGTGTCCAGAATTGGACACAGGATTATTTCAGGTGAGGTCTGACTAACTAGGGGTCCTCACACCAGCCATGGTGGCAGTGGTGAGGAGAAAAAAGAGCTCATTGCTTGGTACTGGTACTGAGGCTGAAACATAATGGTAGAAAAACTCTAATGATTAACGTGTTGAATTTGCATAATCAGAATGCAAGTTAATAGTATGCATAATTATAATAATTTGCAAATTAAATGCCCAGATATATGGGACTGGAATATGGCAGCCCTATAGGGAGCACATGAGTTCATTCTGATAATAGCTCCACTGGCTGCCAGTCTGTTTCTGGGCACACTTCAAAATGGTTCTTTTGACCTATCAAACCCGGTACAGCTTTGTTGTAGTTAACTGCCCTTGAGTTGATCTTGACCCATGGTGGCTCTATGTATGAGACATCTCCAAGACCCTCTGTCCTCCACTGCTCTGCTTAATTTCTGCAACCCCTTAATCCCCATAGTGACCTCCTTCATAGAGTCCCTCCATCTGGCATGTGGCCTTCCTCTCTTCCTACTTCCCTCCACCTTTCCCAGCATTATTGTTTTTTCCAAAGAGTCCTTCCTTCTCATGATGTGTCCAAAGTATGACAGTCTCAGTTTGGTCATCTTGGCTTCTAGGGATCTCTCTGGCTTGACCTGCTCTAGGACCCATTTGTTTGTCCTTTTGGCTGTCCATGGGATCCTCAGCACTCTTCTCCAGCACCACATTCTCTCAAATTAATTGGTTTTTTTCCAATCCTCTTTCTGAACTCTCCATCTCTCACATCCATACATGGTAATAGGGAGTACAATGGCTTGTATGATTCTCACTTTTGTGCTGAGTTGTATATCTTTGCAGCTTAAGTCCAGAACATCTGAAGGACTGCATTCTTCCATACAAGCCTGACCGGACCCTTTCATCTCTGGGAGAGGCTTTTCTTCCAGTCCTGTCATCCTTGCAGACATGTCTGGTGAGGATGTGTAGAGAACCCCTTGTCAGTGGCTGCTCTTAGGCTCTGGCATTTCCTTCCTGGGAAAGTTAGAATGGCTTCTTCCTTGCCACCCTCCCTTTAGCTGGCAAATACTTTTTCAAAAAATATTCTGACAGGCTTTTGGAAACTGTGTTTTTAAACCAAGGACCTTTTAATTAGGTGCTGCTTTGAATTTTTAATGCATGTTTAAATTGCTTTTAATGCTATTGATAGTTTAATTGCATTTCAGTGATCATCTTTTGTAAATTTTATCTCTATTGCGTATGTTTTAATTTGTAAGCCACTCTGAGTCTCAGTTCAGTTCTGGGAGAAAAGGGCAGGATATAAACAAAGTCTACAACTCCCAGGATCCAGGCTGGCTGGGCAATTCTGGGATATGCAGTCCAAAGAAGTTACTTTTCTAAGTTCTGTTACAAACATCAGAAGAATCTTTTTGGATCACATGAAAGGTCTGCCTAATAGGGATGTGAAAATCTCTGTCTCAATTTCATGATTTTTCACCAAATCTTGCTGTCTTTATCATTCTAGTATTTCTATCGGGTTGTGAATCTTTGTAGTCCAAGGCAGTGCTTATTTTGTTGTATTTTTTTAAAAACAAAACACTGTGTGTGTGTTCCCTTTTGGCTAAAGTTTGTGCACATGTTTCCATTGTACACATTGGGAGCAGTTCACTTTTTAAAAATGCGAGCATGGTTTGGTGCACATTTTCTTTCTCTGAATTTAGCCACAAGGCTTGCAAATTGCGATAGGTGTTAAGTGAAGACACAACTTCTTTTGCTACAGAGCTTGGAAAAGTTGCTGGCGTTGACCCCAGGACTAAAGGATTCTGGGACCTGTAGTCCAAAAAAGGTATATTTTCCAAACTCTGAAGGAATCTTGGGACATATTGGCTGGAATCCTGATGATGTCTTAATGGAAGCAGTTGGACTTTTTTTTTTCTGAGATGGAATGACTACATCCAGTTCAATGTTGTGGATGTGGAGTTGCATATGTGGCACCATTGTGCATGCGTTCTGCAGTACATTTACTTTCACGTTCAGTTACAGAATCTTGCAATTCACTTACAAGGTGGTGTTGCACAACCACCACATGACTGTCAATGTCTCCTCAATGCAAAACCACAGACATAATTTTAAATAGGAATGGACAACTTCTGTGGCCCCAGGAGCTACTTTTATGATCCCAGGACCATGTGTAGGTCTCCAAATATGCAGGGATTTTTTGAGTGTGGGGGAGTCAAAAGTAACTGGAATCTACTCCCTGGTTTGATGGGTGTGTGTGCAGGATTTTCCAACAAAATTGTGTTCCTCCATTAGTATCTAATTCAGCACCATCTGTCCCATAAAAAGGGAATTAGAGGCCTCTGGGAAGCCCCATGAACAGGGCAGGAGAGCCACAACCCTCAGCTACTGTTGCTGTCCAGAAGGAGGGACTGGGAGGTGTGTTGTAGCTGAAAACTAGAGATTATAACAGACTGTACAGATATCCACATCTGTAAAATCTGCACTTCCACATCTCATCCTTGCTTGAGTCTGTTAGGTTAGTGTCTCTTTGTTGATTCCTCACATTCCATGTCCCTGAAAACCATAAAGACAGATAGACAGTGATTATTGTTGCCTTTGCCATCCTCTGAGCCTGAGAAAGTGTGACTTGCCCAAGGTTACCCAGTGGGTTTTTATGCTCAGGCGGGGAATTGAACCCTGATCTCCAGAGTCATAGTCTAGTGTTCAAATCACTATGCCATGCTGGCTCTCAGACTCTCATTACAGAATGATCAAACAATATAGAGCTCTGGTGGCACAGTGGTTATATGCCAGTACTGCCGCCACAAGGTTGTGAGTTCGATCCCAGAGGGCTCTAGGGTTGACTCAGCCTTCCATCCTTTTGTAGGTTGGTGAAATGAGTACCCAGCTTGTTGGGGTCAATTGGCTTACAGATTGTAAACTGCTTAGAGAGTGCTGAGTTCACTATGAAGCAGTATAGAAATGTAAATGCTATAGCTATGTTATAGAGAAAACTTCCATCTTGTATCAAACACAGATTTTTTTGATGGCATCAGTTCACACACTCAGCTACCCCCAGTTGGGCCTGGTGGCTTCCATGTTGAATCTAGTCTGGATTTTAGTCCAAACATTGAAGGAGCTTTCCAAGATGCTGAATACTATCCCCCAAATAGGTGCAGCACCTTAGAAGTGCATTGCCTTCCTGGCATAGGAGTTACCAACCGTCACTGGCTACTAGTCCACAAGTATATAGTATTCAAATGTATATGAGTGCAGGAACTAGCCCTGTTTGTTCTGTACTAGCCCTGCTATGGTTTTGTCTATAAAGGCCCTGAGTATGTCAGTAAATCAGAGTCTTTCTTTCTTCTAAGTTAGTAATCATCTGACAGTGAAAGAACTGTCTGTCTGTTCCAGTCCCAGAAAAGACACATAAGAAAAGTTTCTGTTCCTTCCATGCCATCCTCTTGACAAGTTCCTCTGGAACCAAAGCAATGGGGGTGGGAGTGAGGGATGGGAGTGGGCAGGAAATTTTCCAAGAGTTTCAGAAGCCACGACAGCTAGATCTTTCAACCCCTCAAATGAACCCCCCTCCAAAACATGACATCAAGTGGGAAAAAAGGAGCTGTTTTCCCACTCAAGGGGAGCTGTCCGTGCTGTACATAAATGGCACTTCTCAGCCTTTGATCACTGCTGGCAAAGATGAGCAGTACCCTGGGAAGCACGTCCTGTCCTTTCTGACAGCATGTGCCATATACTTGTAAAAGATGTCAAGCATATATAAGAAATAAAAAATAATGCATTAGTTTGTCTGGGGAATGTACGGGTGGGGATAGGGAAGGAATAGAAGGCAGTGTTAGGCTCTGATACCAGGTAGGTTCAAATAAATGTAGGGGTCTTTTTGTGGCAGGGGTTAGTGACAGTGTTGGGGTGAGATCCTAAAAAAGCCAAAGCTGGTTTCTTCAGAAATATTTTAATAAAATGTCTGGAGGCTATTTTCCTTTCAAAATAGAATGAGAAAGACGTTGAAACAATGGCAAGCTCTCGTGCCGGTTTAGGGACTCTGGATGCAAAATTCAGCACAAGACATTGTAATACGTGCATGTTTCAAACATTCTGTTTCTTCAGAATGTGGCCTTGGAGATGCGGCTATGATAGAATGCCGTGCACATGTTCTTGGGAGCGGGGAATTGTTTGGTGATAGAGTGTGAACATGTTTATACCTAAAGAAACCAGTACAAATTTTGCATGTCAATTATTTCAAGGCCGCATCTCTTTCCCATACCCTCTAGCACTCCAAGATGCCCCTTGATGGAATGGGATACTTTTATTCTTAGTCAGGCCTCAACATCAAGCCTCAGCAGGTGCAAGGATCCAGCCCTTTGGATCCCAAAACTTGGGCCTTGTTACCCAAATTGCAGGAGGTCCCGAGATGGCACCCACTTATTGACTTCAATGGGAAAATCAATTTAGCTCAATAGGAAGCAGAAAGAAGGCTGGGGGACACCTGGCTTAACATGACTATGTATGAAAGGGATCTAGGAGCCCTAGTAGACCAGAAGTTGAACATGAGTCAACAGTGTGATGGGGCAGCTAAAAAGCAATGTGATTCTAGGCTGCATCAATAGAAGTATAGTGTCTAGATCAA